GAAGGAATCCTGGCTGTCACGTGCAGCTCAGGGACAGCCAGGAGCCAGGATGAGCTATTAAAATACAATTTATTGGTACAAATCAGACATCGTGAAACAAACTCAGTTAGAAAGAGCTGTCATGTTCTGCACAGATGGATCAGAAATGAACTGTCCCGTGACAGGAGCGATTGGCAGCGCTGGCAGACAGACCGGGTGGACAGGTGTAGGGTGAGCAGGGCAGGGGGAGAGACTGTTCTGGGGCTGGAGTCCTGCCCTTGAGGGCTCCTGACAGCCAGCTAAAAGTCCCCAAAGAGGAGCAGGGTGCAGTGGGAGATGTCTGTCCTATGCAGGGGGGGCCCCCGGTGCCGGGGTTCCCCCAGGCATGCAAGAACTTGGGGAAAACAGAGGGTGAGGGCAAGGGGAGGAGGGAAGAGTCTGTCACCTGTGTTGGGGCCCCTCTGATGGCTGGAAATGGTGTCTTTCAGATGATATTGCCGTGGGCTAGAGAGTTACCCAGCAGGGCCTCACCTTGTGCATCTCTCAGCTGCTTAAGCTCTTCTGGCCATCCAGTCTGTGCGTGCCCTAGCCCATGCTGTTCCCAGAGCAAAGCCTGTTCCAGATCCTGGCCGTGTCCTGGACTTGGGGTCTCCAGTCGTGCATGTGTCAGGTCAGGGTGTGAAGGGAAGCACTAATAACACTCACTCACTTCCCGGAGAAGCCAGAAACCGACGGCTGCTCTGGACATGCAACACATCCCACTGGATTTCAGGGACAGAGCAATGGTCACTGCCCCAGTGTGTAGGGTCAGGCTTGACTGAACCAGGCTTGGTCTGCGTACATTTTCCATGCCTACTGGGACAGAAATACAGGCATGCAGCTCAGTACATTCACACAGCCAGACAAGACAAAGAAGTGACAATGTTTACAGAGATGAACGGTCCCTAAGAGGACATGGGAACAGGTAGACCCAAGGCAGATTTCCTTAAATCTGATCATATAGACTCCCAACAGCACCAGCAGCCAACACAGCTCTGCAGGATGAGATGGGAGAAATGCCCCCCGCCTCCTCCTGCCCATCCCTATCACTTCTCAGTCTCTTGTTCCTTAAATCCTTTCCCCATGCCCTGGTGACCCACTGTCTCAGCAGCCCCGCAAAGTCCTAAGTGGTCCGTACATGGAGCTGTGTGCTGCAGGTGGACCTAGCGGCTGAAATAACGCGAGTGATTCCCAGAACTTTGGGCAGAGCCATCCAGGCCCAGTGCTGGCCACTATTTCAGGTCGTTGTTGATAACCACACTGTCATGCATGTCACAGTAAGTTGTTATCTTCTTCCTCTTGCCAAAGGTGGAGAAGCTGTTCTTGTTCTCCCGGCCCAGGAAGAGGGGCCCGTCTTTGCTGGAAAGCAGATTGGGGGTGCCGGGGATGTAGACATTGTGCTGATAATCCAGGGCTGAGATGTGCCCCTGGTACAAGTGGCTGTACTGGGGTGTCCAGATGCTGTTGGTGCCGGCCGAAGCCTTCTGAAACTCTGAAGGAAATATGAGGGTGAGACTGGCTCAGAGGAGGTCACATCCATAGCTCATTGGGACAGTGACGCTCATGTGTCACCACCCTCCCTTCTGGGGCCTGGACACCCCTTCCATGCCACAAAACTCTACCACTGCTATGAGCAGAGACGTGTCCCCCCTCACTGCATCTCTACCAGGTGACAAGAGTGTCTACTCTTCACAGCCCCAGCACCCCAGTACTAACCAGAGACAGGGGTCACCAGCATGCACAGTCTCTCATGCTCCTTCTGGAGGGCTCTGCGGATTTCCCCGACATCTTCCAGGCTCTGGGAGCTAAAGAGAAGAGATCAGTTCAAAGCTGCATTGGAGATAACCTCCCTGTCCCCACATTTCCCTCCCACCCACTCCCTCTGTTCCCATAGTGCCAGATTTGGTACCTCTTCAGGGCAGATCGCTTTGTGCTTGAAGGCAGCCAGTCCACGTTGGGCTGTTTGATCTGGAAAACACAGGGAAGGTAATTGGACCCTCTGTTAATCAGCCCAGCCCTGCCAGCACAAGGCTTCAGTGGCCAGGGATGCAGGACTCCATCTCCTCCTCCGGGGAGAAGCAAGCAGCACGCTCCCATTTCAGTGAAACTGAGCCAGTGCTGAACCAGCCTGTTCCCTTCTGGACCTTCCCCACCCTCCTGAGGCACTGGGGTTGTCTGGGGCTTGCTCTCCATCTCTGGGAGTTTAATTGCCTCTCTCTTTCCAGGGAGAGGGGCTTTTCCTATTTCTGTTAATTTTAAAAAGCATTTTTTGCAGATGTGATGGTAACTTAGCCCAGGTCTCGGGTACCAAAGGGTGAGAGGGGCAGAGATTGGCTGCATACGCGATGTCCCGGGGGGTTGCAAACAACTAGGGGAAAATCCCATTAACTGAGTCCAGCAGTGCAAGGAGACGTGCAGGGAGAGCCTCTTGGAAGCGAGTCTGGGGCTCTCCTTGGAGGGGCTGTGTTATTAAAAGTCAAATGTAAGTGGATTAGACGCCTCAGCACTCTCCATCCTTGTAATCGTGTTTCAGAAAGAGTCTTTTCATCAGGAAAATTAGACGATCCTCATTTCAAAACCTAACAAATGTTGACATCAAAATCCCGCCCCGAAGACCCCACTCCCTCCCCGCCAGCGCAGCCTGGCGTGGCACAGCAGCCAGGCCTGAGTGCCAGAACTGGGGACGCGAGCGGTGCCAGTGGGGCTGGGACCAGCTGCAGGTGCAGCAGCAGGACACTGCGGACCCCCATGGCACGGGGGAAGCAGAGCGGCAGTGATGCTCAGGCTGTCCCAGCGCCAATTGCTCACCCACACGAAGGAGATGCCACCCCCACCATCCCAGCCCTCCAGGGCACCAGAGCATCTCCATTGCCTCTAATGGGTGTAAAAGGCAGCAGGAAGTGTTCCCCTCTCGTCTCAGTCGAGCCTGACGCTCCCCTGGTAATTAGACTCATCGGGAACCTCAGTGGAGAGTTTCCCGCTGCCTGACGGCTCCTAATTCCCGCACTGATCAAAGGCACCGGTTGCTCTCTGGGAAAAGCCGTGCCTGGTTTCTCTCATGGTAGAGTCTGAGGGAGGGGGCTGGGGGGACCCATGGGGTGCTGGTAAGCACCGCTGGGCATGGCATTACCTGCTTGGAGACCTGGAGATGCTGGCCTGGCCGGGACTGCTTCCCAGGGTCCTTCTCGTTGTTCCGGGGGGGGCTGCAGGGTTTGAGGAACATGAAGTCACTCTGAGCAGACTCAGGACCAAGGCAGACCTTGTAGCAGTAGCCTGGGGGGCCACCCCCAGGCACATCGAGGCAGGTGGCAGCCGTGGTTCCTGCGGGGGGTGTCGGGTTGGACTTCTTCAGGCCATCGGGGGAGGGTCTAGACCTGGGGCAGCAGCGGCAGCGGGGCAGTGAGCAGCCGTCACCTTGGTGGGAGCACTGCTCTCTGCGGCACCGAATGGCTGTGAGGATGAGGATGGCAAGGAGGAAGGTGAAGGAGATGGAGCCCAGGGAGACAAGGAGGTAGAGGGTGAGTGGGGAGGATGAGGAGGCCTCTGGGGGGAGGCTGAACTCGCTGAAGTCGGAGAGAGTCTGAGGCATGGTCTCCACCACTGAAAGCAGGAGGGACATGGTGGCTGAGAGGGCTGGCTGCCCACCATCACGCACCTGCACCACCAGCCGCTGCCGGGTTGCATCCTGTTCCAGAAACGAGCGGAGGGTGCGGAGCTCACCTGTGTCTGGTGCCACACTGAAGAGGGTGAAGTCAGTGGCCTGGAGGAGCTGGTAAGA